TTTTCGGTAGGTTTTTTATCGCCACTAAAACCTTCTGTAGTAGTGGGTTTCTCGGTTAACTGTTTTGATTTTTCAATTGAAGTTTCCTTTGCATCTTTAGTGACAGCCGACTTCCGCTCAATCTTGTCCTCCTCCTGATGATCTATCCTTTCACCATCGTTCGTTTTAAGTGCTGGAGACTTTCTTTCCTCTTGTAAATCACTCGATGACGTCTTGCGTAATTCTCGCAGTTTATTGATTTGATTTTTATTTTCAGGAACTTTTTTCTCCTCTTTACCGACACTCTCAACGGACTTCACACTGCTGCCATCATCGTCGCCAATACTGTCACTATCTTTTCGTGGCATTATTCTTCGAACTGGAGCATCACTTCCAGCAGGAGACACAGGGGAACGCGGACCTGAAAAAGAGAAAGCATTACTTATCGAAACGTTAACTATATATTTTCTGATTTGCAAATAAATGCTTTTAGTACTTTTATCTACCTCTGTAGCTGGTAGAGGTGTGCATCGGATCGGATTGGACGTTTATAATCCGACAATTGCCTAATGTTTAAAATCCGATCCGATCCAAGTTTTCCTAAAGAATTCCAATCCGATCCGAAGAATTCTTTAATAAAATAAATTTCTCATTCAAGTTAAAATATTTAACCAAATAAATATAAGAGCAAGAAATACATGTCAAGAAGCTGACAAAGTAACGTCCAATTGCAGCGACAACCGCGATAATGCTTTGACAAATGCATGGATAATTAATTCTTGCAATAACGCGTGGATAATGATTTAATTTTCAGTTCATTCATTTTGGTCAAACAACTCACCAGTTTGTTCTCGGACAGAAGCCTCGTCTGTTTGTATGAGAACTGGACGAGTTATGGCATCCAGTAGTCTCATTCTTTCACGTGAAGCAGCTTCTTGTTGCTTTTTCCTTTCGCCTTCCTCCATCAGTTTACGTTGCCTTGCTTGTTCAATCGAAATGCTTCGCTCACTTGAAGGTTTATTAGCACTGGCGAGACCTAGAGTATTGGAAAAAAAGGTTAGGGAGAATAAGTGATATTTCTTAACATTGAACCCACTATCTTATATACACTAGATAGTGCATCTAATTATTCTGCAATTCAAAAATTGAAGCCGTGATTGCAGTCTCAGGTCGTTCCCATGAAATGAGAGAAGATTCGTATATTTTCTATTTCTTAAACAGGGAACTTTTAAGTTATATGGTTAACTTAATATTTAAAAATATTTACTTATTTTTAAAAATATTTATTTATATGTTTATTTCTTAAACAGGGAACTTTTAAGTAATATGGTTAACTTAATATTTAAAAATATTAAGTTA